AACTGGATTCGACTAAGTTTGCAAGGTTTGTGAAATTAAATGTTCATTAACCATTCAAAGATTTGTTTAAATGATGTTAATGCGTATTTGCTGAATGCTTACAGCAAATGAGAAAATATTATAATATTTGCCTTTCTATTATTAATAATATAAAAGCAATCGTTATAATATTTTTTGTATACATGTTAATTCCTTTGTTTAACAGTTCTATCCGTATTTAGACAGAAGTGTTAACGACAACGGCGAACAAGAGGGAGAATGTGAGCACAGCGCTGTCAAAATAAATGTCCCACCTCGAACGCATCGGCCAAACAGAAAAACTTGTCAGCCGATGCCGATATTTGAAAAATGTCGGTCGACCACAAAACAGCTGTTTAATATATGCAGATTTGCCATTGTACTATTTTATGGCTGATTTTATGTTTTTTCATTAAACGAATGCTTAGTTTGTGGCTCATTATTATTAAAGTAAGGGGAAAATCCAAAAAGCTTTTATTTATTTGTGCTACAGGGCGGGTATACATCAGTATTTACTTTATTTATAAACGTTTTATTGTTTAATATAAGCGACTTTGTCAGTGTAGTATTGCTGATGTTGTGTGTTTTTAATTTTTGTATAAAAATGTTTTTTTTTTCCATTAAGAGTAATATTGAATCAGACTTAAGCCTTCATTTTGTTCCAAGAATAGGAAAGACCTAACGTTAAAGATCAAAATAAGTGCTGCAGATGCGAGAATGCCAGATTGGTGTGCTGATGAGGTAAATAGATGCTCTCGCTCTTTCTCTGCTGTCTCTTGGCTGCAATGGCTGTAGAAATGGTAGTTAATTCTTAATTTGGGTACGTCACAGACAGACATGCTACAGGTGATGATATGCTAAATGCTACAGGCGGAAAGTTTTCATGAGAAGTTTGAATGTGCGTATAAATACGAATAATCGATGCAATTATTAGTGAATGAGACCCAATGTTTTTTTAATGAGGGAAACATCAAATGGGGTTCAAACAGGCCCCACAGAGAATATGAAGGTTAACCTGATAAAGGCTGAATAAAATAGCTTGGACAAGTGGCCAGAAAGCACTGATTACCCAAAGATGTTTTTAAAACATTATTACGATCATGACAAACATTATTACAGTCATCATAATTCGCAATTACCTGCTAATGGAGGTCCTGGTCTGAGATCTGTGTGCCTGAGAACATAGAAAAATATCTTGTGTTATTTCCTTCTTTTGTGTCACTATTTACTAGGGATGCACCGTTTTGCCCACTGAAAATTATCGGCTGAAAATTAAATTTTCGGTTTTCGCTGAAGATATATAGCACGGCGCACTGCCCATCAGTGTTCAGCGCGCGGGTTTCACTCTCCCTCTAGCCGGCGTCACTGCGCGGTGTGACGCTCCACTCAATACTCCGCTCTATGAATGTGCGTTCTGTTGAGTTGCTCACAGCCCATGCGAACGCTCCACTCATGTACCGCTCATGCTCAACGGAAAAGCAAAGTCCGCTCAAATAACGCGCCGACAGGAAATTTCTATGTAGTATTCTTGTTTCTGTTAACAACAGCGCTACTGTGCTGTAACATGGTGTAGTACAGCTGTATTGGGCAATGCTGGTAAAATGACGCTATACCTCTCGTGGCGCTCTGCTCTGCTCACATGCTCTGATAATAATAGGCTTGTTCGACTTCATGCGGCGCCACAAAGATCGGCTGCCGCCTGACAAGAGCAATGCATTCTGGTTATAACATTTGTCCGACTTGATCGGCGCTGCAGCCGCCTTACGATCAAATGTGCTATCAAAGTACCGCGAGAGCAAAACGAGACCAGCCGCAGTTGCTCAAAATCGTCTGCAAGAGCCTTGATGACGACACACTTTATTCTCATTGGTTAGATTCTGTGATGACAAGCACGACGTGTGTTGCGTGTTTATTCTAACAATTGACCTATCGGTAAGCCCCTCCCCTCGAACGCAGATGAGCCAATGGCAGTCGAGTATCAGTTGCACGGGGTAAGTTTCAGACCCATAGAGAAGCATTGGAAGATCCGAAGCGTTCATCGGTTTGATGGTGTTTATGCTACAAAATGGAAAAATGATGTGCCTGGGGTACTTGTAACACTGATTCCAGGTATCCTGAGAGGATGGGCAATGGAATTTATTTTATTACATTTCCTAAACCCAAACAAAACAGAGCAAATGTCCCCAAGCATTCAACCCCAATCCCAATGAAGACGAAAACGATCATTTTCTGGTTGTCATACTCTCATTAAGTTACAATTGTCATCTGCTCAAGCAGAACGTTAATGTCATCTTGCGTTTCAGCAAGGCATCTCTGGCTAAAACGAATGTTAAAGTTACTGAGTCAATGCTATTACAAACCTAAATAGCAAACTGTTCTCACATCATGTACAGTGTCAAAAACACAAAGGAAGGTCTACATTTCAGTGCCTCTCCATATTAAACTGGTTAAATGTACATGAATTGAATCGTACTCTGCGGTACATGAACAGTGTTGATCGTGACGGCCGTAACATGAGACATCTCCCGCCTGCATTGTGATCTGTAAACCCTCGCTTCGAGTTACCCACTACTTATTTTAAAATCATTAATATCCCTCCATGGAATATTTAATTCCCACTTGAATGGTGGCCCTTCTGTGTCCAAAATTGTGCAAAAACATCGTGGGACAAGGTTTTCACACTGACAGCTGTCATTGTAAGTGAGTGAGCAGCTCCGTTTGTTTGTCTGAGGGAGCAACAGCAACTAGGGGGCGGGGCTTACCGATAGGTCAATTCAATTCAATTCAAATCTGTTTTTATAACAGTAAAAGCTTTTTTAGTGAAGTCGCACTGTTATCTTGAGTCATTTTTCTCAAAAACACTGATATAAGCATAAATACCCACACTTTATTGGTATTTAATAGCCTATGTTTACGCTGAACTTTATTCTTGAACAGATGACGTTGTATTAAGCAGTATATAAAAAGTGTTTCTGTTGCTCATGAAAAAGTGTCTGACTTCCTGTCTCCGCTTTTAATTCCGCCCTGACTGCAAGCGGCTCCTCTCCCCAGCCGGTGGCAGGCTAGTATAGTTCATCTCAAAAAAGCCAATAGCGTTGTAGGACTGTACATTATTTAGATAATTAGAAAAAAAAAAAATATATATATATATATATATATATATATATATATATCTGATTCTGTTGCATAGAACCTAATAAATATAATATTGATATTTCATTTTAATATATTTTCTGTCCAATTTTATTGTTTTACTGTCAATTAAAGTATGGTTATTTTATTGGCTTGTATTTTATACAATTTTGTATCATTAAAATTTAGTTAAATTAAAAAATCGTACAAAATTATTTTATATTATTTAATAAAAAAAACAAATAGGCCTAATTATAAAAAAAAATAATAATAATTTGTTTGCGGCTAAGTGCATTCAGAATTTTCCGTTTCGGCCCAGAATTTTAATTTCGGTGCATCCTTTATCTCTGTGTGTGACCATATATTTCACTAGCCCATTTGCGGGCATTACATTGTTTAAATATTTGCTTTGTCAATGACTCAAACCAAATGATAAAACTTTAGATTTTTAATTATTACAATTTAAAATTATTTTCAGGAACTAAATAGTAGGGAAAATGATTTTAGTGAAAAATCTATTGAAAAAGTCACCAGATTTTACATTCACAGATTTATGAATTGTATTTTGGTTAATAAATGAATGCGTAATAGATAATGTGTGAAATCGCATGCGCTTACGCCTGTTTCACACATATTCATGTGCAGTGCGTATGCCGTACGTCTGCGTTGCGGAAGCAGGAAGTGGCCATTGTGCTTTCACTAGTGGTGTTGAGATGAAGCCTCATGAAGCACATAATACTGTTATTCCAACACTGGAAAGTGGCTGGGTTTAACTGGGCAGAGGGCAGTGAATTCGAACCACTTTCTGAACCAGTCAGGCAGAAGCGAGGCTTCGGACGTCACCAATGACGTCTTTGGTCTAAAGCGATGCACGCTTCACTGAAAGCTTGCTTATTTGTTCTTATTCACACAAAAGCAAAATGATTGAGTATGTCCTTAACTTTTACATTTAGCTTCCGGGATATCTTGACACACGCTCCGAAGCCTCGGCACAGAACGTATATAACATCACTAGCTTTCACACAGGACACATTTGCAGAGCGGTACTGATGCCCGTTCGATCCACGGCAGACTTTCTAACAGTATTTCATATTCGGCCCTTAAATGAACTATGAGTATACTAATGAACATGGCCCTACCATGTACTACTTATACATAACTGTCACGGGTTTGCTACTGTGAGGAGCACGGAACTAGGAAACCGCTCTGGAGGTCCCTCAGGACAGACACGGGACAGTGGGCCTCCAGAGCGGTACCCGTTCGGGGTGCCATGGCGGATCAGGGGACTCGGGAGGCCATGGCGGCGCAGCCTCCGAGGCCGAGGCCCCTACGGCTGGAGCCCTACTACCCCCCCCAAAATACTTGGGGAAATTTACGGGGCTGTACTCGGGGCCAGGAGCCCTCCCTGGGCGTAACGGGGGATCAGGAGCCCTCCCTGGGCTTAACGGGGATCAGGAGCCCTCCCTGGGCTTAACGGGGGATCAGGAGCCCTCCCTGGGCTTAACGGGGGATCAGGAGCCCTCCGTGGGCTTAACGGGGGATCAGGAGCCCTCCGTGGGCTATACTCGGGAACAGGAGCCTTTCTTGGGCTGAACTGGGGATCAGGGTAGCGCTTACGTGGTGCTGGCACTGGAGGGTGCTCTGGAGGAGCAGACACAGCAATGCGCTTTCAAGGAGCTGGCACTGGAGTGAGTTTTGGGGCTGGAGCCGGCTCTGGGGTGCGCTCTAGAGATGAAGGAGTGCTGGACGGGACCGGCGAAGGAGACTCAGGAGATGATGGATAGCTGGACGGAACCAGCGGAGATGAAGGAGACTCAGGAGACAAAGGAAAGCTTTCTAGAGCTGATTCTGGGGTCACATGAACGTTCGTTGGACTTGCCATATTATAGTCCGGCAGGCTTGTCACATTAACGTCTGGTGGGCTTGCCACATTAACGTCTGTTGAGCTTGCCATATGATCTGCCGGCTGACTTGACTCGGGAACTACCGGCTGACTTGACTCGGGAAATACCGGCTGACTTGACTCGGGAAATACTGGCTGGCTTGGCTGAGCCGCGGACGGCCGCGGACTGGTTCTGGCTCGGGACCGGACACTCCCCAGACACCGGAAGACACCTTCCCTCCAACTTAGCCCAGTGGTGTCTGGGAGGTCCACGGGGCGATGGTAGTTGGCCCCGAGCCAGAACAGCTGATTTAGGACAGCGTCCTCTAATGCCGTCACCGCGGCGAGCTTGCAGAACTCCCTGGCGTACTCGTAGAAGGGGAGATCTTGGCGGGATATGGCGAGGAAATGAGCAGCGATCTCCATGCCGCGGGGGGAAAAACCAGGAAAAAGAAAAACGAAGAGAAGGGGCGCTGCTTACTTTTGTTGTTTTTGGTCCGGTATTCTGTCACGGGTTTGCTACTGTGAGGAGCATGGAACGAGGAGACCAGGAGTACAAACCAAGGAGTTTATTTCAATCGTGGGGAAATCACACGTAGCACAAGGAAGTTGGCATTCACAATACCGGACAACACTAACTAAAAGGACTCAGACTTTTAAACACAGGATAACGAGGGATAACGAGACACACCTGGGCTCAATGGAAATTACATGGGGAACACCTGAGATTAAATCAACTCAACACACGGGAGACAGAAACACACATAAAACACGGGACAGAGTCTGACAATAACAATTTATGCAATATAGCCTATTTCATGTGTAAACTTAAATGTATACGCCTACATGAGAAAGAAGGAGGTGGAAGGTGACAACCAACAAAATAGATAAAAAGAGCAATTCACGAACAACATTAGGCCCTACAGCAATAATAACTTTGTATTCACGTTTAAAAAACAATAAACATATAAATAACGCAATGTTATATTAATTACGCTTATATAGATTGATAGTTGCCTTAATGTAAACTCGTCACTTCAGAAACAAACATTTTAAACATTTTAAAACTTACCATCGACACCACCATCTTTTTACAGGACATTCTGCGGGTCATGAGGTATTTTTTCCACCTCTACGATGAGACGAGTGTCATCCATGTCGCTTTGTTTTTGAGTAAGTTTTTCACTTAAGTAAATGGAAAATATTCACAGATTTGAATTTCCCGGATCAATAACTCACGAGCTAAACGCTGTTACTACACAAATAACACCTCTTCTCAGTCGTAGTAACGTAGACAAGCAGCTACAACCTAATTTCCCTCATACCAGCTTTCCTCCACAGTGGAAAAAATACATTGATCTCTACGCACAGACGGCTGAGAGACAGATTCGAAGGGACCGTCTGCAAAGTGCAAAACCCGAAAAGCATTAGGCTACTACAAAAACAATAACTATTCACTGTAATACACTGATAAATAATAAGAAAAAAATAATGTCTCTGTAATACACTGTACTGTCACCAAATTCAGTTCACACATCACTGCTGTCCTGACGGTTATACTACAACACTTATTTTGGAAAAATGTCATTTTGCATATTTTTTATGATTTTTTATTCTGAAAAAATATTTGATTATTAAAAGTATATTTAATAACTTCACTGTATTACACTGTACTGTCACCAAATTCAGTTCACACATCACTGCTGTCCTGACGGTTATACTACAACACTTATTTTGGGAAAATGTAATTTTGCATATTTTTTATGATTTTTTATTCTGAAAAAATATTTGATTATTAAAAGTATATTTAATAACTTCACTGTATTACACTGTACTGTCACCAAATTCAGTTCACACATCATTGCTGTCCTGACGTTTATACTACAACACTTATTTTGGAAAAATGTCTCTGTCTTTCTCTCTCTCTCTAACTATCTCTCAGTTAACATTTTACATGCTGGGTATGATTAATGCTATATGTTTTATGATCTCATAAATGCATTTTTTAACTATTTCAAGTTTAACTGAAGCAAACCACTGTTATTAAACGATTTCAATTACAAATATGTGCTAATTAGATTTGATTAAGTATTACTGTTGAAATGCTACCTGATGCAATACAACATAGTCACACTATAGTAACAGTCTGCCACATATTTTGTTATTGTAATGTGTAATTCTTTCCATCGTTGGAAACAGTGGGTGGTATTAGACAACAAATGTGCAGTTTTACCACACTGATAAAGTTTCTTCAGTCATTTGGCAATCATACAGCGTGAACCACTGTAGGGAAAGCATATATGTCCACAGTAAGTGTTGTAGTCTAACTATCAGGACAGCAGTGATGTGTGAACTGAAATTGGTGACAGTACAGTGTGTAACATTGAAGTTATTAAATATACTTTTAATAATCAAATATTTTTTCAGAATAAAAAAATCATAAAAAATATGCAAAATGACATTTTCCCAAAATAAGTGTTATAGTATAACCATCAGGACAGCAGTGATGTGTGAACTGAAATTGGTGACAGTACAGTGTGTAACATTGAAGTTATTAAATATACTTTTAATAATCAAATATTTTTTCAGAATAAAAAAATCATAAAAAATATGCAAAATGACATTTTCCCAAAATAAGTGTTATAGTATAACCATCAGGACAGCAGTGATGTGTGAACTGAATTGGGTGACAGTACAGTGTAATACAGAGACATTATTTTTTTCTTATTATTTATCAGTGTATTACAGTGAATAGTTATTGTTTTTGTAGTAACCTAATGCTTTTCGGGTTTTGCACTTTGCAGATGGTCCCTTTGAATCTGTCTCTCAGCCGTCTGCGCGTAGAGATCAATGTATTTTTTCCACTGCGGAGGAAAGCTGGTATGAGGGAAATTAGGTTGTAGCTGCTTGTCTACGTTACTACGACTGAGAAGAGGTGTTATTTGTGTAGTAACAGCGTTTAGCTCGTGAGTTATTGATCCGTTAATATGCGGCCAACTTTACTTAAGTTTTCTGTCAAACAGCCTGTCACTTGAATTTGGGGGTAAAGGGTGGGAGATCTGGTGAGCCACATGATTTTCTTCAAAGAGTTAGGTGTGGCTCGCGAGCCATAGGTTCCCGACCTCTGGTTTAGAGCAAAAATCGAATAGAAATGATCGCTGCACTGCTCCTGGAACAACCGTGTGCGTTAAATAACTAAAATACGCACGGCAGACGGGAGTATGTGTGAAATAGGCTTTAGGACGCTTTCTCCAAAGGGTGCTGACTAAAGGCACATTCAAACTGCGAAACCAAGATTCAAAGTCTTTATTCTGAACATCATTTAATTTATGGCACAGACAGATCAAATACTTACAGAAGAGATGCGTCTAGGAATATTTCTTGAAGATTGTGAGGGAGCTGTGTCTTCCGTCGAACAAAAGTGCCAATGAAAGCTGAATGTGAAAGTAAAGGAATATATGAGACTAAAAGTGTATGAATATTTTTCAATATACAGGAAATCGATTAAAATCACTCCAGATTTTACATTTACAGGTTCAAGAATTATGTATTGGCTGAGAAATGAATGTATAATAAATAATGTGAAATCGAAAGGCCCACTAATGCTTTCTCTATTTCTCATATTTGATGTAGCCTGTCTTATCCATTATAGCCTATTTCCAGTTATAGCTATTCTACAAAGAATGAATATAAACATGTCCTAATAGAGGAGGGAAACAATTTTGCTACAATTATGCAAACAAGTGTAAAACAGTACGAGCATTTTTAAGTAGTCTAAGGGTATAGAAGTCTATTAATTTGAGCAGATCAAGTACTTACAAGGGTTCCGACTCCAGATGTTTCTTGAAGATTGTGAGGAAATGAGCTGCTCGGGTGGAGTCCTGCAAAATGAGTTCTGTGGGCAGATAACGTCATGCTCAGGGGCGGACTCAACCAATTCATCCATTTAGATCCTTATTTACTGTCAAGCGAACTGCTGACTCCACTAAAGCCTAGTGAAAACTTACCAACTTGAGGCTTGCTGATAGGCTGTTTACATCTCCCTCATACACAATCCCTCTCCGTACTCTCGGGCCATTTTCAGTTAAATTTTCACCTGTTAAGAGACTTGTCCATCGGACCGGATCCATCTGCAGTACCCGGCCTGGATGCTTGCGTACTCACTTTAAGATTCTGGGCCGAATCAACCGGACCAGATGCGACGGCCGTAACTTGCCGACACTGCGGCATCCAAGCCAGACTCGGCCCGTTGCGCAGCACACCAGACTTAGCCCAGTTGCATTTCTATATCTACTGTAAAATTAATAACGTTACCTAGACAAAACGTTTACTTTCATTTTAATTATATAGATTATAATACATAAATAACATGACTTAACAAATCTATAAACATCTCATTATTATGAAAGCAATTTTAAAGTCCATTAAATAACTAGCTTGACCAAGCTGGCATGAGGAAAAGTTATTTACAAAACAATTTATTTACAAAACCATGCAATTACAGCAAAAAACAGCAGTTATACAATAAGTGTAGATAAAATATTTAACACATTTTGCAAAATTACCTTGCAAAATTGCATTTACTTGAATGAATGAGGCATTTATATGTACACTTGGACTGTAACATTTAATCAATAAAGGTTAAAACATTACAAATTTAAAAGGTGTTTTGAAAAACACATTGGTAAATGGCAAAGTTTTTTAATTAAACATTTTGTACTTAGTTAGGTAATAATTATTTAAATTATTTTACCATGAATTATTTTTAAAGGTAATCAGTGAATACTGTTCTTGGTTGTTGCTCATTGTGCAGCATGTCTTTCCACATCTTAGTCCAGTGAGTACTTTGCTTGGGAGCTTTCATTTCTGCACCTGTCAAGAGCAAATAATGCACAAGTATCTATTACTAAAGGTCTATCTGAATGCACCAAACTGTTGTATTTGAGCTTGCCTCTCCCGTTTGGCCCAGTCCTTCTGGGTATCTGTAAACAGATGCTCGGAAAACTCTAAAATCCAAATACTATGGTAAGTGCACACGTTAAGCTTTGCGCACTTTTCTACAAATCCACATACGTGGTAAGTGTGCACGTTATGCTTTGCGCACTTTCTAAAATCCACATAGCTGGTAAGTGTGCACGTTATGCTTTGCCCACTTTTCTAAAATCCTGTATGGTAAGGGTTACGCATTTTTGATCTCGTTCCCTTTCTCTGAGTTGGTTAGACCCCGGTATCTTGGGCTCCACTCAACTAGTGTGTCTCTGTCGACACACTCTGGAAGCATCGCTCCCCTCACCAGTGAGGGTCATTGTGAGTATGGTGTTTTCTTTCGAGCGTTAATCCTCTCTGAGGAGTTGGATTCCTCGCTCCATGGGCTGTCCTCGTGGTAGTATTGAGCAGTGCTCCCCTTTATCAAAGGGTTACCTGGAATGAGCAACATTATTCCTCTGAATTCGGAGTTCTCCTCTCACATGAGATGTTTGAGTTCTCTGTTTTTCCAGAGCACCTGGAACCAGCAGCATCAGGTGAATTAGGCCCTTCCTCTGCCTCCCTGATGCGCTGAGTGTTTGGCTAGCTTGCAGCATGCTTACCCTTCTGATTTTAACAATCATGCTGCAGGTCGAGCCCCCTCTCGGGAGAGCTGGGTTTGTGCTCCCTCAGTCAAGGTAAACTAATGCTAGCCGTTCCAGCATTGGACCATGCTGTAGATCGAGCCCCCTTTCTCGAGTGAGAACTAGGTGTGTTGCTCCCACAGCTAAGTAAATTATTGCTAGCTGTTCCAGCTTTGGAACATGCTGCAGGTTGAGCCCCCTTCTCGAATTGAGAACTGGGTGTGTTGCTCCCTCAGCTAAATAACTGCTAGCTGTTCCACCATTGGAACATGCTGTAGGTTGAGCTCCCTCTTGATTTAGAGCTGGATGGTTGCTCCCTCAGCTTCAGATTTACTGCTAGCCACCCCAGCATTATAGCCTTAGACATAGCTTTTTGGGGATGCGCTATTTCTATCTATGGGCTGCTCTTTCAGGGTGCCACGAGAACTCCTAGAACGGTATTTCAAGTGTGTGCACGTTATGCTTTGCCCACTGTATGGTAAGGGTTACGCATTTTTGATCTCGTTCCCTTTCTCTGGGTTGGTTAGACCCCGGTACTTTGGGCTCCACTCAACTAGTGTCTCTGTCGACACACTCTGGAAGCATCGCTCCCCTCACCAT